AACATATGTTGGAAAAGACAATCTCTTTAATAAATGGTGCTGGTTAATGGTAACTTGGGAAATGAATAAATGTAGTGCTGGAAAAACTGGCTATCCCCATGCAGAAGAATAAAATAGACCCCTCGCTCTCACTGTATATGAAGATCAACTCAAAATGGATTATAGATTAAAAGATCTGAAACTGTGAAACTGTAACAACAGGGGAAATGCTTCATGAAACCACTTTCATGGCTGGACTGGGCAACGAGTTTTTGAATACAACCCCAAAAGCACAGGCAGTGAAAGCAAAAATAGACACATGGGACTACATTAAACCAAAAAGCTGTGGCCCAGCGAAGGAAACAATCAACAGAGTGAAGAGACAATCTACACAGAATGGGAGAAAAGTATGTGCAAACTATCCATCTGACAAGATGTTAACATCCAGAATATACAAGGAACTCAACAGCTCAACAGCCAAAAAAACAAACAAACAAAAACAGAAAACACTAATGCCCAGAACACCTAGACATTTCTCAGAAAAAGACATAAATGGCCAACAGATGAAAAAAAATGTTCAATATCACCAGTCATCAGAGAAATGCAAATCAAAACCACAACGAACTATGATCTCATTGGTGACTATTTAAAAGACAAAAAGTAAGGCCAGGCACAGTGGCTCATGCCTGTAATCCCAGCAGTTTGGGGGACCGAGGCGGGTAAATCATGAGGTCAGGAGATTGAGACCATCCTGACCAACATGGTGAAACCCTATCTCTACTAAAAATACAGAAATTAGTCCGGTATGGTGGCATGAGCCTGTAGTCCCAGCTACTCAGGAGGCTGAGACAGGAGAGTTGCTTGAACCTGGGAGGTGGAGGTGAGCCAAGATCGCACCACTGCACTCCAGACTGGCGACAGAGCGAGACTCCATCTCAAAACACACACACACACACACACACACACACACACACCACAAATGTTGACAAGGATGTAGAGAGGGAAACTTATGCACTGTGGGTGGGAATGTAAATTAGCATAGCCATTATGAAAAACGGTATGGAGGTTGCTCAAAAAACTAAAAACGGAACTACCATATGATCCAGCAGTCTCATTACTGGGAATACATTCAATCATAGTGAAATCAGTGTGTCGAAGAGCTATCTGCACTCCCTTATTTATTGCGGTGCTACTCATAATAACCAAGATAAAAAAATCAATCTAAATGTCTATCTACAGCTGAATAAAGCAAATGTGGCATGTGTATATAGAAGTATTGTTCAATCATAAACAATGAAAGCCTGTTTTTTTGCAGCAACACAGATGAACCTGGAAGACATTATGTTACGTGAAATAATCCAGGTACAGAAAGACAACCACATGATCTCACTCATCTGTGGAATCTAAAAAAGTTAATTTCATAGAATTAGAGAACAGAATGGTTACCAGAATCTGGGGAGGGTAGTGAGTTTGGGGAGGGCAGGAGACTGGGAGAGGTTAGTCAATGGATACAAAGTTACAGTTAGGAAGAAAGAAAGTAAGTTCTGGTGTTCTGTAGAAATGAACAATGTAGGTGGTGGCTCACCCTTCTAATTACAACATTTTGGGAGGATCACTTGAGCCCAGCAGTTCAAGACCAGCTGGGGCAACATAGCAAAACTCGACTCTACAAAAACTTCAAAAATTGGCCACTCAGGGGGCTGAGGTGGGAGGATCACTTAAGCCCAGGAGGTCAAAGCCATACTGTGCTCCAGCCTGGGTGACAAAGCAACCCTGTCTCAAAACACAAGAATGTAGTGTATATATCAACATAGCTAGAAGACTTTAAATATTATCACCACTAAGAAATAATAAGTGTTTCAAGTGATGGATATAAACCCCGATTTGATACAATGTACACATATACTGAAACATCACACTGTACCCCATAAATATGTAGAATTATGTGTCAACTATAATAAGGAATATTCGATACTTTCTAAAATGTTTAAAGGTTTACATCTTATATTTAGTACTTGATTCTACCTTGGTTTTGGTGTATTGTGTGAATGCCTCACACCATCTAGTTTATTGTTTCAATGGGCGGCCCCTTCTCTGCCAATGTTGCTTCTGTTTAAGTAGGTATCTATGGATAGGTCTGTTGCTGGCTTTCTTGGGCTTTTTTCAAACGGAGTTTTGCTTTTGTTACCCAGGCTACACTGCAATGGTGCGATCTCAGCTCACGGCAACCTCTGCCTCCCCAGGTTCAAGGGATTCTCCTGCCCCAGCCTCCCAGGTAGCTGGGATCACAGGCATGCACCACCATGCCCGGCTAATTTTGTATTTTAGTAGAGACAGGGTTTATTCATATTGGTCAGGCTGGTCTTGAACTCCTGACCTCAGGTGATCTGCCTGCCTTGGCCTCCCAAAGTGCTGGGATTACAGGTATGAGCCACCGCGCCTGGCCTTGGGCTATTTTTTTAATACCTATGCTAATAACACAGACTTGATCAAATCTTAATTTCTGATACTGCAATTTCAAAACTGTGGCTTTTTAAAAAAAAAAAAAAATTGGGGTCGGCCGGGCACGGTGGCTCACGCCTGTAATCCCAGCACTTTGGGAGGCCGAGGCGGGTGGATCATGAGGTCAAGAGATCAAGACCATCCTGGTCAACATGGTGAAACCCCATCTCTACTAAAATACAAAAAATTAGCTGGGCATGGTGGAACATGCCTGTAATCCCAGCTACTCAGGAGGCTGAGGCAGGAGAATTGCCTGAACCCAGGAAGCGGAGGTTGCAGTGAGCCAAGATCGTGCCATTGCACTCCAGCCTGGGTAACAAGAGCGAAACTCCGTCTCAAAAAAAAAAAAAGAAGATGGGGTCTTATTGTGTCATCTACTCTGGAGTTCAGGGGCACAATCACAGCTCATTTCAGCCTCAAACTTCTGGGCTTGAGTGATCCTCCCACTTTAGCCTCCTAAGTAAGTGGGACCACAGGTGCAGGCCACTGTGCCTAGCTAATTTCAGGTCTGTTCTTTTTCCTTAAGAATGCTTTGGCAATCCAGGGTCTTTTGCATTTCCATATGAATTTTGAGATTGTTTCTTCTATTTCTGTGAAATAAAGGTCAAAAAACAAGTTAAAAGACTATCAGGTTCACCAGCAACAGGAAGAATACAAAAAAAAAAAAAAATGAGGCACCATTTCAGTGCCAGACGAGTAAACCTGTTAAGTTGAACTAACATGAAGTGTTAGGACAAAACTGGGGAAACAAGCACCCTCACTCACTGCTGAGGGAAGTATAAACTGGGTCTACCCTTTGAAGAGCAATTTGGAAATATTTAGCCATGTTGAAATCATAACGTACCTTCTGACCCACCCAACAATTTAACTTCTAAGTACTTATCCAACATGTAAACTCTCACATGTACACAAGAGATGTTCAAATACATCTGTTGACTGTAACATTAAGATGGTCAAAAGCTGAAAATGCTGTTAGAATTTTTCCTGTCAGTAGGGGAGTAAGTAAATTGTGATGTATTCATACAATGAAATACCAAACAGCATTTAAAATGAATGAACCAGAGTTACAACCTTGAAGCAAATATAGCAAAATGTTGTTTAAAGGTTAGTAGAGTCTACAACAGGTGTTATCTTCTGTGCTTCCAGTGCTTGAAATATTTCAGGCTGAGCACGGTGGTTCATGCCTCTAATCCCAGCACTTTGGGAGGCTGAGGCAGGCAGATCACCTGAGGTCAGGAGTTCGAGACCAGCCTGGCCGACATGGTGAAACCTCATCTCAACTGAAAATACAAAAACATTAACCAGGTTTAGTGGTGTGCACATGTAATCCCAGCTACTCTGGAGGCTGAGGCAGGAGAATTGCTTGAACCCGGGAGGCGGAGATTGCAGTGAGCTGAGATCGCACCACTGCACTCCAGCCTGAGGTGAGACTCATCGCCAAAAAAAATTTTTTTCAAAAATTTAAAAAAGTAGCCAAACATAAAAATGTTGGGGAAAAGACAATACTTCTCCTCCTTTATTTTTTTATTTTTGAGATGGAGTTTTGCTCTCGTTCCACAGGCTGGAGTGCAATGGCACAATCTCAGCTGTCACCTCTGCCTCCCAGGTTCAAGTGATTCTCCTGCCTCAGCCTCCCAAGTAGCTGAGGTTACAGGCATGTACCACCATGCCTGGCTAATTTTTGTATTTTTAGTAAAGACGAGGTTTCACCATGTTAGCCAGGCTGGTCTCGAACTCCTGACCTCAGGTGAGCCACCTGCCTCGGCCTCCCAAAGTTCTGGGATTACAGGCATGAGCCACTGCACCTGGCCTCCCCCTTTATAACGTCAATTTCTATGATACACATCACTGTACTTGTAGAACAGCAATTTAGCCACTGAATTTACCAGTGTAGAATTGTCATACCCAGATGTCTTGTGAAATAAGTTTTTCTTACTGTTTAAGACACATCTAATTAGGTTTTCTGCTCCTTGCAGTTTACTGCATATTGATACAATGCTCTTTATCAAAACAAAACACTCAACTCTGAAGAATGTACAAATTCCAGTGGGTTCTTGATGACTATAAAGACCCTGTTATTCTCATACAGGGTGGAGGCAGGAATTTCGCAAACTACACAAATAGCTGTAGTTTTACCAGAACCACCCCAGTTTTGCTTCGCACTTTCCCAATCATTGAACGGTTTCTCTAAGAGAATGTGCCTATTTTGTTTTCAGCATTGTTAGCCACATCTAGAAATGTGACAGAGTCTGAGTTGCTTTTTTGGAAGTATTTAAAGGTACGTGTCAGTCTTCCTATGCAGTTCCCTAAAAATGTTGTTTAAATATATATTCTAACTTTCCAATAAGAGGGATAGCTCGTGGATAGGAAATGGCTTTGTTTCTTTTCTATCCTAGATAGATCCAAAATCTAGTATTCTACATGGGCACTCAGCAAGCTGTAGAGCCAACTCCCACAACTACAGAGACAGCTTTTCATTCAAACAGCACACGTCCGTAATAAACAATTACAAAAATATGAACATTTTAATTAAATTGATTTATTTAAAAAGACTATAAAATTTGACATCAAGAGAGATAAAAAAGACCCACAGGATTTAAAATGACAAATATAAAAACGATTGGCTACAAACAATGTAAAAATACATTTCCCAGCCCCCAAACAAACATAATTTAAGTAATTATAAAATTTTTGTACTGTAAGTGCATTCCTCTTATAAGTCTTCAGAACCATTCTAAACAATCTGTCTGTGTAAAATATAAAATTAAATTTACCATAACTGTTAATTTTAAAATGATTGTAAATTTGATTTTATGGAGTTTGCCATTTTCTGTACATAATAGTGGTTTCTGGTCCCAAGTTCACCTTGAACTTATTTACTACAATGGTCTTTTTACTCCTTTTTCCTTCTACAAGGGTCCCATAAAAAAGCAATGTGAAGGAAGGTTCTAAGAGTGACCAAAAATACCAGCGAACATATTACCTTTCTGAAAAAGAAAGAACTAAATGACCAACTAGGCCGCTTTGCACCAACGAAACGAATGGGGGTGAAACCTCAGAACGAGCACAGCTTAAGCTCAATGACAGGATGTTTTATGATAGGCCAACTGAGAACGTATCTGTCAATCTTGAATAAGCCCAATGCATGGGTGGCGACACTGAGGTAGTCCAGATGATATGCTCTGAATTTTAGATAGGTCTAGATGACATTAAAAATCACAATGGTACAATTTGATGTGAAACTCTAGTCTACCTACCACAAACTAGTTTTCTGAATTGGTCCTTATTCTTAGACCCAAGATCCAGCAATTTCTCCTCTCTTAAAAACAGCATCCATGATTGGTTTCATTATCTCCCAATTAAGTAGTGGTGATATCACCACGCATAAGCATCCAAACTCGGATACAAATCCTAAAGGTACTGAGTCAGTAAGACAGAGCAGAAGCTATGTTGGGCCATACTGACCAATTTCTGAGAACCACATAAGCCACATTCATACAGCTAAAACCCATCTATGACACACAAATGGCAGATGAGAAAAAAAAAAATGAATGAGGTTATTAAACTTTATCACTAGAAACATGATTCCACTGTTGCAAATAGGAAACCTACCCGGGAGACCTCCACCAAAGTGCAGAAGGACCTGATATGGGCTTATCATCTTAACACTAGAGTCTTGGGTCAAAACTCTACAAGGAGGATAAGAAAGATCTAGTCTATGAACCACCTGGACAGAAAGGTTGTATCCCAAGTGCCCTGCCTATCTGTGACAGTCAACAGACAATTCTGATTATGAAGTTATCGCTTAAGAATGGTTTGATTCTTCCTTATGCCACCAACAATATTAGTCTGGGCAGGATTCCCTAGATATTTACTTTCTTAAGATGTTCCCTGCCAAAAAACAAACTAGAGCAATGCCCATGTAAAAACAAGGACTCTAAAGATCCTGCTACACGGTATTCACAATTAAAAGGGCTCAGGATTCAGGACCAACTAGAGACAACTGACAACACGGAAGTGTCAGAGCCAGAGGTCAACCTCAGCTAAATGATGAAGCAGTACAGGGCTCCATTTCTGTCTGATAAGGAGAGAGAAAAGAGGCATCTCAAAGAGATGAAAAACCAAAGGCTGGGATCCCAGAAAAACAGACTGGCTTCAAAGAAGACACTGAGGAAGACCTACAGAGCTGTATTAACCTTAGTTTAAAAAAAAATCATATGTCAAGAGGGGAACTGAACTACTTTCTAAATCATAGTATGAACTCATCTCTCCAGATACTTGGTAAGGGGTCAAAGCTTGTTTTCATAATTTTTTCTTTTTGCGATGTGAGTTTTGCTCTTGTTGCCCAGGCTGGAATGCAATGGTGCAATCCCAGCTCACCACAACCTCCGCCTCCTAAGCGATTCTCCTGGGTTCAAGCGATTCTCCTGCCTCAGCCTCCTAAGCAGCTGGGATTACAGGCATGCAGCACCGCACCTGGCTAATTTTGTATTTTTAGTAGAAATGGGGTTTCTCCATGTTGGGCAGGCTGGTCTCAAACTCCCGACCTCAGGTGATCCACCAGCCTTGACCTCCCAAGTCCTACGATTATACACATGAGCCACTGAGCCCAGCCATTTTTATAATTACTTTCAGTTTCTTGGGAAAAAAGTCTTTCTTATCTTTGGTCCTTAAGTGTGGTATCAGTTTCTTATTTTTTTTTTCTTTTTGAGACAGAGTCTTGCTCTGTCGGTCAGGCTGGAATGTAGTGGCACGATCTCAGCTCACTGCAACCTACATCTCCTGCATTCAAGCAATTCTCCTGCCTCAGCCTCCTAAGTAGCTGGGATTACAGGCCTGTGCCATGATGCCCAGCTAATTTTTTGTATTTTTCATAGAGACAGGGTTTCACCACGTTGGCCAGACTGGTCTTGAACTCCTGACCTCCGGTAATCCCCCATCTCGGCTTCACAAAATGCTGGGATTACAGGTGTGAGCCACTGCACGCCCAGCCTCTTTCATTTTTTCATATGTTATAAAACAATCTTTTTTTTACTTGACATCAATGACCAAGGTACAGTATAAACATGAAGTTGCTGATATTGTTGCTTTTATACACATAAAATACCAACATCTCTCATACACTTTATAGGCTATACGCAAGTCTCAGAAAGAATTAATAGCAGTTATCCAAAAGTATTGTAATATTTAAGGCTGAGTGAAATACAGTAAAGCCTGATATTATATGTTAAGAAACCTAGACCAACATTTTAAATATTGGTTTCTTAACTATGTTAAATTTTCATTAACAGAACATAATCTAAGCATCAAAACAGCTAAGCAAATTAATTTAAAAATAAAAACAATTTCTAAATAGATTAATATAATCATGTTTATACAGCTATAAAGCATAATTTGGAAGTTAAGCCTAGTAAAAGAATGACCTGTAACAGAATGACAGAAACATTTATCAACCATTGAGCTGTGCAATTTAAAGAAACCATTGTCCTCCCCTCCTCCCACCAAAATCTCCATCTGAGATAGTTTCAATCATTATTTAAAAATTGGTTTTTTTGCTTCTCTGACCTGATTTGTGGTGACTGACACAATATTGATAAAACTGCCTTCTTGACCTTCCCTTTGCTCTCCAAAAGACGTGGTTTAAACAATTACACAAATTCTACAAGAGTTTCTTCCAGGGCTCAGGCACCACAATGCAGCGTCACTACCTTAGGTGCTCCCCAGAATCTTTAAGCATTAAGTGGTTCAGTGAGGGCTTCAGCCCTAGTGGTATTTTCAGGTTTTCTCAGCCGGGACTCCCGTAGTTTTTCAACGAACATAGTGAGAAAGTCAAGTAGGAACATAAAACTTGCTATAAATCCAAATACCTGAGCAAGAAAATGGAGAAAGGTTACATGAGGAGTTTTGGAATATAATCTCCCATTTCCTACTTGGCTTGGAGAGTGTTTCATGTAAGCAAGATGTTCATGAATTTTATCTTCAACACAACTACTCTTTAATGGTTTTTTAAAAAAATTTAAGTCATCAATAAATGGAAAGACGTTATAAAAGAAAAATTTCCAGAAAAATGGCTATTAGTCAAAGTCCCACAAAATACTAATGTCCTGCCTTAAGGATGCATGTTTATATGTGCTAACATATGAAACTAGATGAACATTAAATTCTATGAAATGATACAAAACACAAGAATATTTGCATGGTGAGACTGACCCACAGATGTGATAAAGAAAGTATGTGACTAGGCAACTGAGCCTAAGTGAAAATGAAAAAAGTTATTAATATCAAAACAAAAATTCCATTTTGAAGATACTTTTAGGTTAAATTACTTAAATAAAACACATGTTCCAGTTGTCATACTGCAATGACACAGTGACATGACGCCACCACCCACTTCCTCTTCCTTAAATCATTTCCTCAATTGTTCTAACATATGATCAAACATTCTGAGAATTCTATCAAGAGACAGAAGACCATGCATCTGCTTCAAATTTAGCTTCTCCACTAGCAAAACCCTTAAGGATATGGGGGCCAAATAAGTTCTCTGTAAAAAAGAGAAAATTGATGTAGGTGATGGCTAAAGTCTCTTCCAAATCTAACACTCCCTATCTCCACAATTTTTATTAGTAACATTCTTACCAAGTCTATTGCAGTCTCCTGACCTCTCCTCCCCACTCTAAAGAATATGCATTCCACCTCATTTTACCAGAGTAAACTGAGCTCCAAATTCATTAATTCCACCGGATTATCTCCAATACATCCAACCTAAATTAAATTATCAACGCCTCCCACCCTCCCATCCCCTGCCACAAAAGCCAAGTCTTTTTCTCTCTGGAATCTTTATTTTTGACTTGATGGCATTTATCCCTTTATTTTCCTGGCAACCTTCTCAACCATCAAACTCAGACCAAATGTCACCCTTGTCCTTGAAGCTCTCTCTAACCACCTCAGAGAGCTCCAGTCCATACAAGGCCCTCTATACTATATAATCCAGACAAGTGATCTTCTAGCTCTTTTGTTCACACACTTATAAATTTAAAACAAAACAAAAAAAGACTTTCTCACTCATTTAAGTCTATTGAACTTTTCATAATTTAAATAGTTACAAAAGGTAATTTCCAGCATATTATAAATATTGACTTTTTAAACTACCAATATTAAATATATCCAATGAAATCTAAATACTGGAACAGTCTAATACATCATCTAATTAAAATACAAATTTCTTAATATAATTGTACATTTTTTTCCCAGAACTCAATTTTTCATCAACTTCATTTCACTTTCCCCACAGAATGTTATAGTGATGTATCTTTATACTATTTTATTGTTCACCATCTCATACTCCTCTGCAACAAAAATATTTCTAAACTGCAATTAACCATAAAGCCCTATTAAAACTTTTATTTTTGTCTACTATTGGTTCATATACCCATGAATAAATATTGTTTGTTGCTAGAATGAATCAAGGTTCGGCATTAACTTTATTTCTGTGTTTTGTTTTTACACATGTAAGTGCTAATTTTCAAGCATGAATAGGTAAACACAGCCATGTAATTCTCTGACCTCCTTTTAAGTTTGCTATCATAAAAAGCAGTTTTAATGATGTATTAGCTGACAACTCTGTGAATTACAACCTCGATTTTGTTAAAAACAAAGTACTAACTGGAAACCGGCTGACCTGCAAGAAGATTTGTTACCCAGCTGTTAAGTCATTCAAGCTCACAGCACTGGTACCAGTCCAGTCATGATCCTTGATTTATAATTCCGAAACCCAAAGAGCTACCTTAACTCAAGGTTTTCATGATTCACTTGGCTCAAAATTGACACGAAGACTACTTAGGCTTTACTTATCTCTTTTACTATAAATATTAAGATGTTTTACTTCAGATATACCAATGTTAGATTACAGGGTACTGTCCCAGGCCCTCAAATGGTTTTGTGTAATTAAGAAATGTACAGCATTATTTTTCTAAAATCCAAAATATTCTGAATTCTATAAAAAAAATTCTGGCTGCAAGAATTTCAGATAAAAATTGGATCTTTATTTTCAACTGTCTCTTTGTTGTACTCAAGAGGTTTTTTGTTTTGTGTTACAATTCAGGGTAATCCACCATAGTAATGCATATTGTTTGGGTCTGTGTCCCCGCCCAAATCTCACGTCAAATTGGAATCCCCAATGTTGGGGGTGGGCCTGGTTGGAAGTGATAGGATCATGGGGGCAGATTTCCCCTTTGATGCTGTTCTTGTAACAGTGAGTTTTCACAAGATCTGCTTGTTTAAAAGTGTGTGGCACCTCCCGTCTCTCTCTCTCTTCCTCCTGCTCTGGCCATGTAAGATGTGCCTGCTTCCGCCTCCCTTTCTGCCATGATGGTAAGTTTCCTGAGGCCTCCCCAGCTATGCTGCCTATAGAGCCAGCAGAACCATGAGGCAATTAAACAAACCTCTTTTCTTTATCAGTTATCCAGTCTCAGGTATTTCTATATAGTAGTACAAGAAGAAACTAATGCAGCAAGATTCAGGACAAGCAATTTTTCTTCTTTCTGAGGGGGGAAGGTAGGTGGCAACTATGAATGGGAAGGTAGAAAAGAGCTGGCAAGACTCCTTCACCAGAGATGAATTCTCAGACATACTAGTTTTAAGAAAGATTACATATGGAGGTTAAAAAGCTGGAAACAGATTTCCTTAAAAACTATCTCTGCTCTATATGAACCTCTTCAGTGATTAAAAAGAAAAAAAGAAAAAAAAAAAAACTATCTCTGCCTAGTAGTCCCTGAAAAGTCCTGATGAACCTTTAAGGATATGTATAACCCACTGAAAACTGCTATTTAGACCAACTTTTTTCTTCTTCTTCTTGTATGCTGCTTGCCCAGGCTGATCTTGAATGCCTGGCTTCAAGTGATTCTCTCACCTTGGCTTTCCAAAGTGCTGGGATTACAAGCATGAGCCACAGCACCCAGTATTAAACAACTTCTTGGTTCATTTAACAAAATCCATTAAAATTTTACTTTTCTATCTCCTTTTCTGGGCTGAACCTCTGAATCACTTCTCCCATATATTCTCCATACCTAGAATAGCACCTGGCACATAAGTGTGCATTTGTTGAACTGAAAGTGGAGAAATACAAGACAATAAAGTCAATTTTACCACTGCCATTAGCAATAACACATTCTTATGTGGAATAAATGGATTGTTTTTAAACAAAATTCAGTCAAATCCTATAGGCTCTAGGTTTTAAAGGCTATCATACTGATTTGCTTTTAGGTCTTCTATTTGAAATTACACTGAAAAATAAGTTAAAAGAAAAACAACTCTAACATACTGTATAACTTGTCAAGTACTCTCCAAATTCCGTATTTATAAGGAAACAAAAATAACCAATGTTAAAAATACAAGGTACTTACAATTGCAGCAATTTCAGCTGAAGTCCTGTCATGTGTGGAAACAAAAATGATGGACGCCAACAAAAACACAAATCCTGTTCCCAAAGCAATATAAAAATCCTATGCACGGATGTAAAACACAAAAATAATACAATATAGTTAGATTCGTGGAAACGAACTTTTTCATTTTTAACTTTAAAAAGCTCTGGTTACTTTTTTCCTTGATACAACCCAAACTTACATACCCAAACTTCTAACTTTTCAATAAGCCTGGCATTCAATAAATACCCTGTAAAAAAACAGTACCCACATTGGGCTGGGCATATTGAGAGAGCACATTACAAGAAAATCTTTTTTTTCTTCTTTTGAGATGGAGTTTCACTGTTGTTACCCAGACTGGAGAGATCATCTTTTAGTAACAACAGTCTCCTGGGGCAGGAGAGGTAGCAGGAGCCTGCAGTCCCAGCTAATTGGGACTTTTTTATTATCCAGTCTCAAAAAAAAAAACCAATCCCTGAAAAGACCTCATGTGTGTGTCCTCTTTTTCTTCTCTGGGACATATTAAAATTATCAAAACCAAGCATTTATTACAGTTCCATCTTATTTCCAGCAAAAAAGCATTTTTCTTTCCTTTCAAAGTATCTTACGGTAGCATGACATTTCTGAGAGTTCTCCAATGCTTTGAAAGCACTTTGAAAAGAGAGAATTTTAAAAAACACCCATTATCAAATAGAAGTATGCCAATAGTATGCTTTTTAGACACTTCAGCTTTCTGGAATAACATATTGCCATCAACTGTTCCAAGTGGGTAATCCATAGTGAGCTTATATGATGCATTTACCTACTGATTGGTACCACTGCACTCCAGACTGAGCAACAGGGTGAGACTGTCTCCAAAACAAAAAAAAAATCCTTATGACATTAGGTAAAAAGTAGAATATATGTTCTGTGATTACAAAATATTTTAAATTTTAAAAATCATCTACGAATGGAAACAAAAGACTTGAAAGGAATGTAGCAAAATAATACAAAGCTATTTTTAAATGAAATAACTGATTTTCTTTTTTTTCTGTATTTTTAAACCAGTATTTACTCTAAAATGATTTTTTAAATGCTCAAGTTTGATATAATAACTGTTTTACTTTTTTTAGGTTACACCATTATACTAAACTGGTAATTATTATAACGTTGTTTCTTGTCAAAATGATACTAAACTGGACAATATTATACACTGTTTCTTGACAAAATGATCAGTGTGCTTTAAACACTACAGAAGCAGCATTAAAATAAAAACTAAACATTTCTAAAAATATTTTTAGGGTTAGTGATATTGTTTCACTATTGAGATAAGAAATGACAAAATGATTTCAATCTTTAATTTTTTAAATATAAATGTTTCCAGCCAGAATTTGGAATGGTTTTATATATATATATATATTTTTTTTTTTTTTTACACATTCAAACTATAAATCAACCAGCTCAGGTACTTGAGAACTTTTCCCTTGTCCAAATCTTAGGGCATATACATCTATAAAAAGGAAAACTTTCAAAGACTACAAATACAATTAACAAAAATTCTAAGGATTATCTGTATCCTCGTAATATATATTTCATAAAACAAATGAGTTCTGTTATTGTCATAGAGTTTCCTACAGCAATGGCATTAGTCATGACGGCACCCCAAGTTGGTAGGGCACTGATTCCAATAGGGTTCTGCTCCTAGCAAACTATTGAGGAACAAGAAACCAGGCACCGCATGTTCTCACTCATAAGTGGGAGTTGAACAATGAGAACACATGGATACAGGGAGGGGACCATCACACATCAGAGACTTTCAGGGGGTGGGGGTCAAGAGGAGGGAGAGCAACAGGACAAATACCTGATTCATGTGGGGCTTAAAACCTACATGACGGGTTGATAGGTGCAGCAAGCCACCACGGCACATGTATACCTATGTAATAGCTATTCTGCTGTTCTGCACATGTATCCCAGAACTTAAAGTAAAATATAAAAAAAAGTTTTTTAAAAGGATTCTGCCTAAGTCACAGAGTGTAAGGGCTTGCCTTGAGCTCAAACCCAGTTCATTTTTCATCCTAGCTGTGTTAACTTTGGGCAAGTTCCTTAACAACTCCGAACCTAAGTTTCCTAAAGAGAAATGGGCATAAGGTGTAAGGATTCTAAAACACAACACGTAGAGTAACTGGCATATAGTACATACATGCTGACAGCAGCTACCTGTATTACTAGCCAAGATAACAGAATGGTCACATATTGACTATACCAAGAACTGTGTGTAAGTGCTCATCAAATGCTCGAGAGATTTGGTTCAGACTCTACTTATTTTTCAAAGTTAATGTTTAACTGTTTGGTATAAACTTTTTTTTTTTTTGAGACAGGGTCTCACTCTGTCACTAGGGTGGAGTACAATGGAATGATTATAACTCACAGCAATCTTGACCTCCTAGGGTCAAGTGATCCTCCTGTCTCAGCCTCCTGAGTAGCTAGGACTACAGGCATGCATCGCCGCACCCAGCTAATTTTTATACATTTTCTGTACAGATGGGGTCTCACTATGTTGAACTCCTGGCCTCAAGTGCTCCTCTTGCCTTAGCTTCCTGAAGTGCTGGGATTACAGGTGTGAGCCACCACCCCCAGCCTATTTTTTAACTTAGAATATATTTTTATAAAAAGGTAATAGGTTCCTATAGCACGAAATTCAAGAGGTACAAAAGATTATACAGAAAAAAGTAACTTTCTTATGTGTATAATCAATATATAATTAATGCTTGCTTCTTATTAATTTAAAATAATAGAATCTTACTGGTTTGTTTTATACTGTTATCTCTTGTTTGTAAGAGGACAAAATCAGGCCAGGCATTGGTTCAGGCCTGTAAGCCCAGTACTTTGGAAGGCCAAGGCAGGAGGAGTGCTTGAGCCCAGAAGTTCAAGGCCAGCTTAGGCAACATAGCAAGATCTCAGCCCTACTAAAAATCAAAAAAGTTAGCTGGGCATGGTGGCACACACCTGCAGTCACAGCTACTACCCAGCTACTCAGAAGGGTCAGGGCCAGGCACAGTAGCTCATGCTTGTAATCCCAGCACTTTTGGGAGGCCAAGGTGGATGGATCACTTGCATCCAGAAGTTTGAGACCAACCTGGGCAACAAAGCAAAACCCCATCTCTACAAAAAAATGTAGCCAGGCATGATGGTCCACACCTATAGTCCTAGCTACTGGGGAGGCTGAGGTGGGAGGATTGCTTAAGCCTGGGAGGCACAGGCTGCAGTGAGATGAGAGCGCACCACTGCATTCCAGCCTGGGCGACAAAGTGAGGTCATCTCAAAAACAAAACAAAACAAGAAAACCTTATAGGGTCAGCAAACAAAGTCTTTAAAAAGTTAAGCATTTCTAATTTTGTAAAATATAAAAGACTCTCAAGTAGTTTTTATTTTTATAAAATTTATGAATAAATTCAACAAATGCATTCTTAATTCACTTATAGACAACTTTTCATAATAACTTTAAAGCAAAATATAGGAAGAATTACATGTTGTTATATTTTCCCCAATCACTGAAGCTTTAAGTTTTAAATGTTGTTTTATTTTAAGGCTCCAGAAATATTTCACATTAGTTCATTACTCTATTGCCAGTGTCTAGCATATTAATGTCTGGCAGATAACAAAGGTACACAATTAATAATTGTAGAACCTAGCTACTAAGCCCAAAGAAAAAAATAATAATAATAATTGTAGAACCAATAAGTAACACTCAAAAATGAGAAATCAGGCCGGGTGCGATTGCTCACACCTATAATCCCAGCACTTTGGGAGACAGAGGCAGTCGGATCACAAGGTCAGGAGTTCGAGACCAGCCCGACCAACATGGTGAAACCCTGTCTATACTAAAAATACGAAAATTACAGTGGCCCATGCCTGTAATCCCAGCTACTCGGGGAGCTGAGGCAGGAGAATCGTTTGAACCCAGGAGGCAGAAGATCGCACCACTGCACTCCAGCCTGGGAGACAGTGAGACTCCGTCTCAAAAAAAAAAATGGGTAGGGGAAGAAATCAGAAGTGGCAAAATCCTAGGCTTTTTAAGTCTAATGTGAATTACATTAAACCACCAATAACTGTAAGCTATTGGCAGTGTCTGTCACCCTCATTCTAATCTCACTTTCCCTCTCTATCATCCCCTTGGTAGGAAAACGAGGTGCTTAGAAGCAGAGCAAGTTGGAACAAGGGATACTATCTTTTCATGTTGTCAAGTTTGAAAACATTACTGCTTTGAACAATAAAACTATGCCAGATTACAAAATAGCTGTGCTCTTAATTTAGGAATGATATTTTCCCATGCTTACCGATGCTTTTACTTTTGCGGTATCAACCATATCATAAACGGGAGTGCAATAAACAATCAGTATGAGGAGACTCAGAAGGAAGGCACTGCAGCTTACAAACTCAAAAAAATAAAGTCCTCCACACAAAGTACATTGCGACACAACTTCTTCACAGATGAAGGCCAGCAGAGACAGCAGCTATAAACGAAGAAAAACATTTCTCTTAAGTGTTTTTCAGAATACCTGCAGTATTTAGAAAGCTGTTTCTGAATAACATCTGTTTACTCAAATATTTACAACGTGGAGACTATGGCAAACGAGATTAGTCAATAAACCCCATCTACACAGAACTTACAGTTTGGCTGCCTTGAAGGAAATACAGGTACATAAATAATTAACCCATCGTGTACTAATGCCAGAACAGGGGAAATATATACTGTTATAAAAGCACATAGGAGAGACGCTCAACTTCAGGGTCAGGAAAGGCTTCCTGAAGGAGAAAGCTGAAGCCTGAAGAACAGAGTCACTTTTGGGGATTAGAGATTAAAGAAAGAAATTCCCAGCAGAGAAGCAGTACACAGAAAGGCCCAGAAATGAGAGAGCATGGCACCTGCCCCCATGACCCAACATACAGATACATACCCCGACCTCCAACTGGACTGTCAAAGTCAGTCAAATCAACATGGCTCAAGTAGAGTTTGAGGGAAGAGAATGGCAGCATGCACATCATTATATGAGACCAGAGAGGCAAGCTGAGGCCAGATCTAAATGTCCTCATTCATTAAAGAGTCTGGCTCTTAAGGGTTTTAAAGTAAATGTTGATAATGATCAGGTTTAGGCTTTCAATAGTTCTTAAACTGGCTACAATATGGAGAAAGGACCAGAGGTAAGGCAAACCTTTTGGGGCAGACACACAACTGGGAAGCTGATGTAGGAAGTCAGGGCAAATGATAGCGATTAGCAGCAATGGAGAAGAGAGGCAATCACTGAGAGAGGCAGCAGAAGCTCTTATCAGACAGCATGCAAAAAGCTCGTATCAGACAAGACGCCTATAAATAATGTGGAATACGAGAAACACATGTGTACCTTAAATACTTTAACTTAAAAAGACACATTTATGACCAGCCTGGCCAACATAGCGAAACCCCATCTCTACTAAAAATACAAAAATTAGCTAGGCATGGTGGCAGGTGCCTATAATCCCAGCTTCGCAGGAGACTGAGGCTTGAACCTGGGAGGTGGAAGTTGCAGAGAGTCAAGTCGCACCACTGCACTCCAGTCTGGGTGACAGAGTGAGATTCTGCCTCAAAAAAAAAAAAGGCACATTTATTCTTCATCTTTTGAAGTGAGTCTTTTCTTCACAGGTCTACTGACTGGAATTCCACGTTTTCTGCACTAATCACTTTCTCATCTATGGACTACCACTTCCGGACTGATGTTATTGGAAGTGAAGTGAGATCTTAAACACTTGAGAATCTTTCTAGAGTCAAACTAGTTTTACCAGCCTTTTTCAGTTGCCTCGCTCTTCCTTAATTCCATGGCAGATAAATATTTTAGTAACTTATCTTTCAGTCTTCCCAAAGCATTCAGTTTAGTTTTTTAAAAAAATCCTTTTCACACTCAGTTTCAGCTTTGTAATATTTAACAGTTTGGCCACAAAAGTATAATCAGCATAAAGCAGTATGAGAACAACGCAACTCGACTGATGACAGAAGCAAGAGTTCTGGAGTGCTAATGAGATGGCTACTGGCCATGGCAGGCTGTGGGTGACTGGTATGGGGTCAGGATGCTTGGTATGGTGAGTGGAGAATGTTAACTCTAGTTAACTTGGCAACCAAATATACGCAAGTGGTTTTTAACTACTTCCAACCGCTGTATATGTGATACTAACAATACTGGTCCTCACCGAAGAAAGAGTCAGGATTTTTTAAAAGGCAAAGGTGGTGGGGAAAAGAATAAATTCGTTTTAAATGTGCTGTGATTGAGGGGTCTGTGGAAGAGTTAGGTGGAGATGTAGTTGGAAAGCAAATGAACATATGAGTCTGCAGTTGAAAGGTCTGAGATGCAGATGAAGATGTGGGAGGCAGCATAGTGGGAGAGTGAGATGACCCAAATGAGGAAAGACAGCCTTATGTGGAAATCCGAGGAACTGAAGATTTACGGGATATGCAGAGGGGAAGAAACCAGCAAAGGACAACTAAGAGCAGCAATCAAAAGGGTAGTAAACAAGAAAAAAGTATTTACACACTTACACACGTAATCAAGAATGCTCAATGCTACTTAGAGGTCAAGTAAGAACAACACTGAAACACCTACCTTAGACTGAGCTATCAGAAGGCTGCTAGTGACACCAGCAAGACAAGTTCCGGGGTAGTCAGGTAGAGAAGCTGGATTACAATACTGTATATTGGGAAGTGAGGGGAGGGTAAGGCAGAGAAATAAGAGATAGCAGAGTCAACAAGTGTGGCTGGGAAAGAATGGCCAGATAGGGCAGTAGTGGATGAGGTCAAAGAGAAGGGAATTTCAACATGGGAGAGAACTGAGCATGTTTAAATGCTTAGGCAGAAACCAGCAAGATGGGTGGGTCTAAAGACAGAGGTAGAAAAATGGCTCTCTAAAGATAGGATTCAGGGCTCAGGTTTGGGGCTAACTCTTCTCTAGAAACAGAAGGAAAGACAGAGAAGAGTGCTCTGCTGGGGCAGTTTGTGTGGGTTTTGAGGAAGCTGAGGGAGTTTCCTTCTGACTGCCGAAACCATCAAAATGACTGATGCCCCAAGTCAGAGGCATTAATTTCCCTTTAGGGAATTAATTACCTTCTCACCCCGTCAGGCCAGTAGAAGCAACCAGACGGGTTAATGGCAACAGGATTGCTACCAAAATCAACAAATACTTTTCATAGCAACAGTAAACATCTTATCCCACAAAACATTTTCATTCAAAAGAGTCAATGGGGCCGGGCGTGGTGGCTCAAGCCTGTCATCCCAGCACTTTGGGAGGCTGAGGTGTGCGGATCACAAGGTCAACAGATCGAGACCATCCTGGTCAACATGGTGAAACCCCGTCTCTACTAAAAAATATACAAAAAATTAGCTGGGCATGGTGGCGCGTGCCTGTAATCCCAGCTACTCAGGAGGCTGAGGCAGGAGAATTGCCTGAACCCAGGAGGCGGAGGTTGCGGTGAGCCGAGATCGCGCCATTGCACTCCAGCCTGGGTAACAAGCGCGAACTCCGTCTCAAAAAAAAAAGAGTCAATGGTACAGCCATCCTGAAAAACAGTTCAGCAGTTTCTTTCAAAACTAAGCATGTGTCTACCATACGACCCAGTAAGAGAACTTTTGGGCATCTATCTCAAGGAAATGAAAACTTTATGTTTGTACAAAAACTGGTACATGTTTATTACAATTTTATTCATAATAGCCCCAAACTAGAAACATTCCAGATGCAATAGTTAAAACAAACTGTGGTATATCCATACTACGGAATATTAGCAATAAGAAGGAGCAAACTTGATATATGTAATGTCCTAGATGAATCTCCAGAGAATTATTCAAAGAAAAAAAAATCCAATCTCAAAAGGTTACATATTGTATGATTCCATTCATAGCCCATTCTTAGAATAGGCTGAGGCAGGAGAATTGCTTGAACCCAGAAGGCAGAGGTTGCAGAGAGCCGAGACCGTGCCAGTGCACTCCAGTCTGGGTAACAACAGCGAAATTCCGTCTCAAAAAAAAAAATAATAATCATAATCATAGTAATAATAATGATGGCTAACAAATTAGTCGCAGCCAAGAGAAAGGGGAAGGGTGTGGCTACAAAGGGGTAGCACAGGGAAGCTCTATGCTGATGGCACAGTTCAGTACCTTGATTGTGGTAGCTGATTACAGAAAGCAATATATGTGGTAAAATTACACAGAATTACACACACATGCACACACAAATAAGTGCATGGGACCTCCCTGTACACTTTTTTTTTGTTTGTTTCCTGTGAATCTATAATTATTTCAAAATAAAAAGTTAAAAAAATAGTTCAAACCTACACTGGTATCCAAACCTTTAAGGGATTTCCTCTCCCTCCTACTGGCTACACAAAAATGTATATATCCCCACAGCTGAAAATACTTTATATAAAAGAAAAAACATAGGTACTATCCCTCTGATTTTCTGTAAGCTAGTGAAGCATGAAATAGCCCAGCATGTCCCAAACAACCTCCTTCAGACAGATGTTAGGTAAGGCACTCCCAATCACTCCACCACAGAATATAAGGTGACAACACAAAGACAAATCTGCGAAGGCTACTCTGTAAAGACACTTCCTTGGTCTCCTGCAGTCATAGTTACAGGATGAGTTTTTACATGACTATAGTCTAATAAAATACAAAATATCTAACATTTCACTTGCCCTTTTCTTGCCTCTATGTTATATCTTGTCCAAGTTTTAAAAGTTTCTCTATGAGAAATTTGCAAAATATGCCTCAGGTGTATAAAAGTTAATTAACTGAGAGAAGATATCAGCCTAAAATCCTAGGGTTTGGGAATAAACCATTCATGTTACAATTAGACCATGAGGCACACTCATGTGTGAAGGTTATATTGCAATAAAATATTATCTGTAGGATAGACACAGGCTGCTTGTCTAATCTCAGTTAAAAAAGGACAGGATCCAGCTTGTACAGAAGCAGTCAGTCTCAAGTCCTTACAAGTCCTATTCCAAATGTATTAACAGGGGTCATTCTTATTGACCTTAAGCCTCAGAGCAATAGTAAGAGGCAGGTTCTGCCTGGATATCTTGAGAATGAAGGAGTAAGTTTGGACATCTGGCAGGGCACAGTGGCTCACACCTGTACTCCCAGCGCTTTGGGAGGCCAAGGCGGGCAGACCACTTGAGGCCAGAAGTTCAAGACCAGCCTAGCCAATATGGGAAAACCCCGTCTCTAATAAAAATATATAAATTTGCTCAGCATGGCAGCGCATGCCTGTAATCCCAGCTACCTGGTCAGCTGAAGCATGAGGATTGCTTGAACCCAGGAGGTGGAGGTTACAGTGAGCCAAGATTTCACTACTGTACTCCAGTGTGGGTGAGAGCAAGACTCTATCTCAAAAAAAAAAAAAAAGTTTGGACATTTGCTAGTTCCCATCTCAAGTTAAAAGCCAAGAAATTGGCACCACAAGCTGTAGTCAATATGCAATTCTGTTGGCCAGGTGCAATGACTCACACTTGTAATCCCAGCACGTTGGGAGGCTGAGGCGGGAGGATTGCTTGGGCTCAGGAGTTTGAGACCAGCCTAGACAACATCATGGTGAAACCCCATCTCTCCCAAAAAAAGAAAAAAAAATTATTTGCCTACCCATCTATGAGGCTACTAACCTTCCTTTGTAAGTTCCCACAGCATGACACAATCGCTAGTTCAAAGTGTACTTGAGTATACTCTTCTATGTACAGGAAGATGTAATGATGGAGTAACAAGCTCAATGCGCAAGAAACAATAATAATAAAATATATTTTATACCACATTAACTGCATTCATTATATGTAGGTTAGAAAACCTCAAGAAAATGTTCTGAGGAGCTAGAAAAGGATGAGTGGAAAAGCAGGACTCAAACCAGGCAGAGACTCACACAGAACCCGGATAGACAGATGACATTCTATGTGGAGGATGAAAAAGAACACATTCGTAATGGCAAGAATTTGCATAGTAAATCCAAAAATGATAATAAGGCAACCGACCTAACTGGATTGGGATGATGAAAAACACGGTTTAGGAGTTGGGTGAGGTGATGTCTAGATGAAGGCTGCAGGGAACGCCTGCCCGGTTAGAAAACAGGAGGACAGAGGATTGGGTGGAGCCTGAAGGAATTCTACAGTTAAAGAGGAGGAGGGAAAAGAGCAAGTAGCAGAGGACAAGCAAGCCAAAGGAAGTGTTTTTTAAAAAAACAAAACTTAAAAAGCAGCAAGTAAACACACTCCAAACTGTTAAACAGTGACACCTGGCAGTGTGAGGCGTGGGAAAGTGGTTTTATTTTAGTATTTTCAGTTGATTTTTTTTTTTTTAGCAAGCAGACACTTTTTTGTAATAAAAGAAAAAATGTGTAAAAGTTGAAGGAAGAATTTCGAGAAATGAGCAGTCACCAGCATTAAATGCCAAAGTGGTCAAGAATAGGAAGAGAGAAAAATGTCACTGAATTAGGTAAGAAGTTAATGGTAAATGTAACCCATAAGTAAAAAAGCTCGATTACTATTTTTGGGTAAAGTTTTGTTCTCAATAGCATGAAGTCATCATACTAAATACTGCTTACTGAATATTAAGCTAAGTACCTAATAACTATATACCCAACGTAACTCCTTCTAATGACATAAAATTTTACCCAAATATAATTAAGGGAATGATCAAGCTTTTAATGTCAGGAGGGCCCTTAGAGAGCATAATAGTCTCCCGCCCTCATGTTTACAAAGATGGAATTAATCTACTGACAGGTTAAGCCTCAAGTTAGCTTGGCACAGACAACCCAAGTCTCTGACTCCCACTCTGTATTTCCTCTCCCCATGAAACACTGTTAAATTCCTTTTACAGCTATGTATGTTTGTGTAGGTTTTCCCCGTAAGACTGGGTTTCTGAAGTTAAAACCACAGTTCTGTGTATTTCCCTTAATGTATTAAATCATACATTAAAAACAATTTGCTGACATCAACAGATGTGGGAAGTCTCAGCGACTAAAAGGTGATCTCACTCACAGCTCCGGTGATTTAAACACTGGATAATTACTACCCTGCATCTATCTCTCCATTTCAGTTTCACTACCTTTTCTGAAATGTTAAGTATTCCTTAAAACTGTCACTATATTAAATATGAATTCTCCATTAATTTACTAGTCACTACTTATATTTCATAAAAAGAATTTTTAAAGGTTGGCCATTAATTATAAGGCTCCACCTACAAAATTATATGAATTATAAATTAATGAACTTTACTACTAAAAACCTTATAGTTGTAAGTAAAATTCAAATTAAACAACCCATTGGTCTGAAGAAACAGGCCAGGCCTCCCCCTTAGGCAAATATTTGCTCTTACAAAGGTTCAAAGGTATAATTTGATGACATTATCTTTGATAATTTGATCTTCCTCAAGGTAAAAATGGAACATTTCAATTTATTATACATCAGTTTTCATATATAAATAATGAAAAGAGCAGCAATATGAGAAATTCTTCTAAATAATTTGTTTCTTGGTACTTACAGGGTAACATTATTTACAACGTAATAAATTGAAAAATCACCGATGGATTCTAAAACTGCTTGCCAGATGAGTGACTAGAATCCCAGTACTGTGCAGCTATCAGGACAGTCAACGGATACCATGGACACAATGTGGAGCTTGTTGCACACTGTGTGAAAATTACACATATTTAGGTCACTGCACCAGCGTACCAGCAAGCAATTAGTCTACCAAACATCAATTCTCCCCTTAAAACAAAAACTCCCTCAAAAGAACTCACAAAATGAAACATGAACATATGGACAAATCTAAGGATAGCATAGGACTCCAGTAACTCCTTGTACTCAATTCTCAACTGAGTATTTCTTCTTAAGCTCTGGAAGGGTGGATGGTAGTTGGGGGTCGCTTAGGTTTTTGACAAAATTCAGGTCATATCTGAACGGCAGACACAGCTATGTAACTTCAAGAGAAAGAAAAGCTATGTTTTTTATCTCTAATCTCCTGTGTGTGTGTACAGGCTCCACTCTATCCCTTCAATGTTCAGTTCTGTAACAGCAAACCCCATGGAGCCTCAGAGGTTTGAAAAAAAAAATCTTAAGAGTGGAAAGAACCTCAGAGGTAATCCAATTCAACCTCCTAAGACTCTAAAATTTAAGAATTTCCTAAGTATATATACAGAGTCTAGTTTCTAAGTTTTAGAGAAGGCTTCCTTTGCCTTGTAGGATCTTTGAGACTCTGTTAAGATTTATGGATCCAGAATAATATACTCAAACACAGAAGTGTACAATATTTTGAACATAATTTCAAAGGGTTTGCAGGTCCCTTGTTAAAACACCTCCCCTTATGATTATGAGTTTCTCCCTTACAGTTGTTTCCTTACTGGAGCTCGGCAATTATGTTTAGGTTTTTGAAAAATTAAACATCTAAAGTAAAACAACAAATCTATCAGAGTTCAAGTTAAGGCAGAGACCCTGCCTATAGCCCCAGACTGGAAGACAACTTTTACTGACTTCATATGTAACTCTCTTGGGACTTTCTGGATAATTCCCATAATACACTGTTCCTGTGAAGAGATAAGACATTATCAAAACAGACAAAGCAGGAACAAAAAGACAACCATCAAAGTGAAAAGCAATAATGAAAAAATACTTTTAAATCTCCACATTAAAGAAGGCATTCTTGAGCGAGGAGGGGAGGCGGGGCAGGCCGGCCCAGGGCCTGAAGCCCACCGAAGCCCACCAGCTCACGCCTGTAGCAGCCACTCTTGTCCTCTGGGTACGGCTCTCGGGAGTGTTGGTTACCATGGTGAAGCTGGCAGCCAAATGCATCCTGGCAGGAGACCCAGCAGTGGGCAAGAGCACCCTGGCCCAGATCTTCCGCAGTGACGGAGCCCATTTCCAGAAGAGCTATACACTGACAACAGGAATGGATTTGGTGGTAAAGACAGTGCCAGTTCCTGACACAGGAGACAGTGTGGAACTCTTCATTTTTGACTCTGCTGGCAAGGAGCTGTTTTCGGAAATGCTGGATAAATTGTGGGAGAGTCCCAACGTCTTCTGTCTCGTCTATGATGTGACCAATGAACAGTGCTTCAACAACTGCAGCAAGTGGCTGGAGAAGGCTCGGTCACAGGCTCCAGGCATCTGTCTCCCACGTGTTTTAGTTGGGAACAAGACAGACCTGGTCGGCAGACAATAAGTGGACTCCGCTGAGGTCCGGGCGTGGGCGCTGGGCCAGGGCCTTGAATGCTTTGAAACATCCCTGAAGGAGATGGAAAACTTTGAAGGCCCTTTCCACTGCCTGGACAAGCATTTCCAACAGCTGTACCGGGAGAAGATGGAGGTTTTCTGGGCACTGGTGTAAAGGCTAGAGCAGATCGTGCCGTGCGACCAGAGAAGACAGAATTACCTCTGCACTGTTAATATATAATGATGGCTTTAAATAATATTAGAGAAAATGTTAAAAAAAAAAAGAAGGCATTCTTGTAACATAAACATTTCCCCATAAACAAATAAATGGATTTCATAAAGAGATATTCGTTTTTATCCTTTCCCCATTTCTTCTTATGAATGATGGAGATCAAGTAAGAATAGTCTTATGATCTTTTTTTTTTTTGAGATGGAGTCTCACTCTGTCCCACAGGATAGAGTGCAGTAATGCAATCTTCGCTCACTATAACCTCTGCCTCCTGAGTTGGAGCGATTCTCCCGCCTCAGCCTCCTGTGTAGCTGGGATTACAGGGGTACAGCACCACACGAGGCTAATTTTTGTATTTTTAGTAGAGACAGGGTTTCCCTGTTAGCCAGGCTGGTTTTGAACTCCTGATTCAGGTGATACGCCCGTCTCAGCCTCTGAAAGTGCTGGGATGATAAGTGTGAGCCACTGCTCCCGGCCTAGCCTAACAATCTTTTAAGGCAAATTCGTCTTCTCTGTGTCCAAATATAACATTTACCACAATAATTTCTGGTTGTGTTCCATGTTTTCTTCTATAATAGCAATAAGGAAGGAAACTGGTCATGTTCTATTGCAAAGACATAAAACTACAGTTTACTAACTATAATAAGGTACTGAGAAATTTTACTTTAGCTTTGCCACTTTTTATTAGAAAGAAAAAACAAACGCAACTGAAAACAGGAGATTTTATGGGCAGCAAACCAATACACACGATTTTTTTAAGCAGCAAGAATGCTTCAGATGGGCCAGGCACAGTGACTTACACCTGTAATCCCAGCGCTTTGGGAGGTCCGGGGGCAAATCAGCCTGGTCAACTTGGCGAGACTCCGTCTCTACAAAAAATACAAAAAAGGCGGGGAGCAGTGTAATCCCACGCCTGTAATCCCAGCACTTTGGGAGGATGAGGAGGGCAAATCAGTAGGTCAGGAGTTCAAGATGGCCAACATAGTGAAACCCCATCTCTACTAAAAATACAAAAAATTAGCTGGGTGTGGTGGTGTGCGCCTGTAACCCCAGCTACTTAGGAGGCTGAGGCAGGAGAATCACATGAACCCGGGAGGTAGAGGTTGCAGTAAGCCAAGATCGCACTATTGCACTCCAGCCCTGGCAACAGTGTGAGACTCCGTCTTGGGGAAAAAAAAAAAAAAAAACCCGCACACATACACACAAAATTAGCCAGGCATGTAGGTACCTGTCTGTAGTCCCAACTCCTTGGGGAGGTGGAGGCAAGAGAACTGTTTAAATCTGGGAGGCGGAGGTTGCAGTGAGCCAAGATCGCACCACTGCACTCCAGCCCGGAGACAGAACAAAACACACACACACACACACACACACACACACACGCTTCAGATAAATATTCTTTTCTGTTCCAAAGAGTTCTACTATTCATGTAGAAAATTTTAGCTTTACTGAAGAGAAATACAGCTGATACCCAAAGACCACGTGACCGCTGACAAGAGGAAGAGCAGAAGGAAGACGGTAGAAGGAACAGGTTATGCAAAGGAACAGTGGTAGGAAGGAGCCCCTGATGCCTCGTAATAAATTAAAGGTGGCTGGTGTGGACCCACCTACAGGGAGAATGGAGAGAAAGATAAGGCCGGATCCTGCTGGTTTCCATAGGCCACATTACCACTTGCTTTCAAACGATTTCCCAGGCGTCATCAGATATGATCATTTTGATCACTCAACAGCAGTGCCGATTTCCGACTTCTGTTTTTCTATTCAATAAAATTAGGTCATCTGAGTTCTAAGAACTTAACTTCTAGTCATTTGAGTGGTAAGAATTTAAGTTCTTTCCGAGGAAGCCAATGTTTTTTAACCTTTTACTTAGAATGGTTAAAAAACAAAGCAAAGTAAAACAAAACAAAGCCCATAAACATTCTAATCATTCGGATTTTTCCTACACTGGTTCTACTGCAGAAAACGTTCCTCCTCATCTGTGGCTGGAACAGGACACAGCTCAACGCCACTGTAAAGCGAACTGTAATTTAAATCTCAAAAGATGCTGTGATTTTTTTCACTAATAGATTTATGGTACTTTAACTGCTTAAAAGAAACTCAATGAAATGGAAAGCCGCATACCATGCCTGGTTCTGCTATCCGCACAGACTCACAAAAAGCCGCCCTTTGACTTTCCACTTCGAACCCATATTGCTCAATTCTGAAATAATGCTTTTCCAGTCAATAACAAACTTTTAGAAGACAATTTACTGGGCACGCACACACACATACACAACTCAATGCCATGCTTGGTATCGAGGACTTTGCTCAGCAGGTTAAACTGCCCTCAAGGGCTCTCAACAGGAAAACCGCAAAAGCCAGAAAAGATAAACAGAAAGCGCTTCACAGTCTAATTACAGGCACTGTGGACGATAGTGCAGAGTGGAGCCGGGAGAAGGAGGAAAGCCGCCAGAGAGGAGTGGAAGAGGTTGAAGTGGCTGCCCTGGGTCTCCGAAGCATTTCCCGGGCCTGCTTAACAGGCTGGGTGGCCCCAGGTCGTGGGATCCCGGAGCCGGGAGCCGTGGGGCTGAGGGGCCGCCCGACGGAAGGGCGGAGGGTAACGCCCCCTTCCCGGGCGGAGAGGGAAGGAACTAGAGGTGTAGAAACCGCCTCGCACTCAACCACCAAGCCGAAGAGAAGCAGCTCCGCGGCCTCCCAAGCCCGGGCCAGACCCCGCTCCCCACCCCGGGCTCGCCTCACTCCCGCGGCCAAGGACTCACCAGCTGCAAGCCCTTGAGAACGCGCCGGAGCCAGGGGAGTCGGCCTAGGAAGAAGTAGGCAGCGAGGCCGCTCCGGGGCCCTGTGGCGGTGCCCGGGTCTTCCTCCGTAGTGAGTCTGTACACCGCTCCGTTCTCCATCGCCTAGGGCCGGGGAGCGCGGCAGCCACAGCAACCGCGCCGCCGACTTCGCGGACTCCAGAAGTCCCCCGGAGCGCGGAGGGGCCGTCACTTCCTGGGCCTCCTCCCCGGCTTCCGTCCGACTCCGCCCCGCCCCCTCCCTCAGCTGACTTGCCTGTTAGCTCTTGGGCTTCTTCCGACTTTCGTCCAAGGATTGAGTTCATTCTGTGAGGCTTTCACGGATTTCTCACCTCCCTCCATATTTCATCTTCCTGATGTTCATTCATTCATTCATTCATTCACTCACTCAATGTTTTTTAGTACTTTCAGCGTGCAGGGAAACCCGTTCTAGGTGCTAGGGTGACAGCCAAGTACCACCCAAAATCACAGGATCTCTAGAAACAGACAGACGATAAACAAGAAAACAGATTAATAACAATTTCAGATAGTGATAAGTGATGTGAAAATATGACATTAAAATAGTAGATTCGGCACTTCTGGTGGCTTGGTAAATTCATTTAAAAAAAAAAAAAAGGAAGAAGAAAGAAAAGGATGGATAGTTGAGTGCTCTACTTAAATGGCCACTACTAGGTATCAGCTGTATTTCTCTGAAGTAAAGCTAAAATTTTCTACGTGAATAGTAGAACTCTTTAGAACAGAAAGGAATATTCATCTGAAGCATTTTTTTTTTTCTCTTACTCTGTCGCCCAGGCTGGAGTGCAGTGGTCAGGAAAGGCCTCTCTGAGGACCATGATCTTTGAGTTGAATGAGACGCAAAGTAGGAGAAGTCAGGCTTGGGAAGATCTGGGGAGAGCCTTTCATGCAAGTGCAAATGTTCGGAGGACCAAATGAGTTTGGCTGAATCTGAAGCCCAAAGGCCTGTGTGGCTATGAATAAGTATGGGAGGAAAGAAGATGAGGTTGGAGATGTAGGCAAGGGCCAGATAATGTTGAGGACTTGCAGACAAGGGACGAATTCAGATTTCATTTTAAGTACAATGAGTTGTCTGTAAGGACTTCCAGGATTGCTCGCTCCCACGTCTCTCCAGATTCCACTGAGGCTCACTTTTCTATTGGGTACCAGCCCCAACCCTGTACGTGGGTGCCCTTAGTCCCGGAGGTGATGAGATATTGAGAAAAGGAAATAAAGACAGAGACACGAGTAGATTTTACAGCGTTGGTCCAGAGCTCTGGGCTCCAAACACTTTTATTATGTGCATAATCTCATTGATCTTATAGACATGGAAGGGAGGGTAAAGGGGTAGGTAAGACAGGGGGAGAGAGCACTTGTGATCCTTCTAAGACATGCTAAACTAGTACTCTGAGTTTATCACCAATTGCTATCGGGTTGCTGCGGGATCAGAAGTATAGCAGATGGGGAGCCACCAGGTCTGACCACATCCAATGCATCAGGGGCTTTTATCTCCCTAGCACTGAGGACATAGAGCAATTAAAATCACTCCATATTCCGAGAACCTAGACAGAGCCTGAGGCTTTCCATTATCTCTGCCCTGCAAGGATTTTCTCCTCCTTGCCAGCTCCCATCTGCAAAGACCCTCCTGGATCTTGTGAGCAGAGATCGACTCCCTTCTCAGAGATCTTTGCAGAAGCCCTCTTTACAAGACCCTCATGCAGTCTCCATGTTGAGAATGCGTTCGTGGGACCACAGCAGTATTGCCTGTTCTGCAGCCACCCCGAGGTGTTCCCTGGTGTTACTTCGCTCTCAGATGGTCTTTACCTTAGGCTTCCTGTTGCTGCTTGATTTCTAATTAACTGCACCAATAATATAGTTTAGTTCTGTGTATAAACTTCAGTGTACTCTGAGCCAAGCAAGCTTTTAATTATTTAGCTAGAATTAACATAGGTCTCCCCCTGGCCATGTTGACCCACACTTTTCAAAATCATTTTGTTTGTCTCTTTCTTGATCACCAACTGCTACAGTCACATATGTTATTTTGTGTGAACTTGTCAAGGAATGCAATTATATTTTAACAAACTGAAGTTGATTGAGTTACAGAATCTTCACTTTCAAATGAGACAATTGAGGCCAAGAGGCTGAAATCATATGCAAGGTCAAACAGCCAAGAGCAGCTGGAATGCAGGCCTAGGCAGTCTGACTCGAAACCTAGCTGCTAACTACTAACCCAACCACCATCAGCCTCTAACTCCTCTCCACTGGAGTCTCAAAACCCATGGAAGGCCGGGCACGGTGGCTTATGCCTGTAATCCCAGCACTTTGGGAGGCCGAGGCGGGCAGATCACGAGGTCAAGAAATGGAGACCACTTGGCCAACATGGTGAAGCCCTGTCTTTACTAAAAATACAAAAATTAGCAGGGAGTGCTGGTGCACACCTGTAGTCCCAGCTACTCGGGAGGCTGAGGCAGGACAATTGCTTGAACCTGGGAGATGGAGGCTGCAGTGAGCTGAGTATGCACCACTGCACTCCAGACTGGTGACAGAGTGAGACTCTGTCTCAAAAAAAAAAAAAAAAAGAAAAGAAAAGAAAAACCCATGGAAGAGAGAAGTGGTTTCTCTTGCCATCTGCTGCCACCCCAAACCTCCCTTTCTTCTTTCAGTAACAAACAAAAGCTCCCATTCAAATGAACAGAGACAAGTAGATACTGCCTTGCTGGGGCCGCCTACAACCAGCCAGAACTATCCTTCTGTCTTTGATTACATGCATTCTGAATGTCCTCCTGAGGCCAAGATGCCACCAATTCTGTCCAACAAAAGAAGGCCACTGTATTTTTACCAGGGCTACAAGGACTCATTGCCTCATTATTCTTCAAGTTACTATCATCCTAAATTGAACACTACTAATGTCTAAAATTTCCTTTGAAATTCATCCAAAATTAAGATGAGCTGATGATTAGAGAGATGAATAAAAGATTTGTGATAGGCTGGGCGTGGTTGCTCATGCCTGTAATCCCAGCACTTTGGGAGGCTGAGGTGGATGGATAATCTAAGGTCAGGAGTTCGAGACCAGCCTGACCAACAAGGTGAAACCGTGTCTCTACTAAAAATACAAAAATTATACAGGTGTGGTGGCGCATACCTGTAATCCCAGCTACTCGAAAGGCTGAGGCAGGAGAATTGCTTGAACCTGGGAGGTGGAGATTGCAGTGAGCCAAGATTATGCCACTGCACTCCAACCTGGGCAACAGAGCAAGACTTCATCTCAAAAAACAAAAAGCTGGGCGCGGTGGCTCAAGCCTGTAATCCCAGCACTTTGGGAGGCCGAAGCAGGTGGATCACAAGGTCAAGAGATCGAGACCATCCTGGTTAACTTGGTGAAACCCCTTCTCTACTAAAAATACAAAGAATTAGCTGGGCATGGTGGCGTGTGCCTGTAATCCCAGCTACTCAGGATGCTGAGGCAGGAGAATTGCCTGAACCCAGGAGGCGGAGGTTGCGGTGAGCCGAGATCGCGCCATTGCACTCCAGCCTGGGTAACAAGTGCGAAACACTGTCTCAAAAAAAAAAAAAATTTATGATAAAGTAACTGTGGTAACATATTAATGGTGGTATCTAGGTGAAGTATATGGGTGTCCACTGTACAATTATTTCAACATTTCTGTATGTTTGAACATTTTAAAAATAAAGTATTGAGGGCAGGTTACAAACAAACAAGGATACTTTGAGACGGGAGAGACGAGCAGACATCGTCAACCCTCCTGGTTTGTTTAATGCACACTTATGCACTTCTCTAGGGGTCTCTGCTTCTCTTTGCAATTTTAGAAAACAGGAGGAATTTAACCTGTGATTAATAAACTCAAAGATGGCAAAGAATCATCTGTGAGGTTACTTAAAAAAATAAAGATTCTTGGAGATTTAGCCCCAAAGATTCTGAACGTGGACAGGTTTTGGGAATATACTTCTTTAACAAGCCCTTCACGTGAATCTGGGAAGAAATCCATCCACATAGAGAAACTGTTTTATAGTGTGGTAAAAGTGAAAGCCTCTGTGCAGTAGACAGCAGACATGCCTTATTTTCCTTGCTCTGATTGATTTGGCGGCCCGGGACTTAGAGACTAATATTTCACCCAGGTAAAGAAGTGGGCATTCCTTATGTTTTCTTCATAAATTGAAAGACCAAATAAAAATGTTAGTGCTTCATGAGCAAACACTTGTATAGGAGACTCTTTGGATGGGCATATTCACACAGAAAACTGGCACCCTCATTAACGAATCAACAGCTTGGAACAGACAACGGTGGGATGATGTTGAAACAAGAAATCTTATTTATGGTAAAAAAAAAATACAACATGGCTCACGCCTGTAATCCCAGCACTTTGGGAGGCCGAAGCGGGTGGATCACGAGGTCAAGAGATCGAGACCATCCTGGTCAACGTGGTGAAACCCCGTCTCTACTACAAATACAAAAAATTAGCTGGGCATGGTGGCACGTGCCTGTAATCCCAGCTACTCAGGAGGCTGAGGCAGGAGAATTGCCTGAACCCAGGAGGCGGAGGTTGCGGTGAGCCGAGATCGCGCCATTGCACTCCAGCCTGGGTAACAAGAGCGAAACTCCGTCTCAAAAAAAAAAAAAAAAATACAACAAAAAGAAGAAAGGAAGATAGACTAAATTTAGGTTTTAAAGAATATTCACTGTTCTCCTTTAATATTAGATATTTAATTTTTTAAATATATATTTTATTGCATTTTAGGTTTCGGGGTACATGTGAAGAACATGCAAGATGTTGCATAGCCAACAATCTTGCATGTTCTTCACATGTACCCCGAAACCTAAAATGTAATAAAACAGGGGTGTGTTTTTGCTATTATAATGAGCAAAGCGTCAGTTTGAGGACAGGTAAAATCAAAGTGCTCATGCTCTTTACAGGAGAAATTCCCTGCTGAAGATAGCTTGCTTGATTGATTTCAGTCACAATTCAAACGCTGAGGCTTATTGTGCTGACTCTTCAGGTCACCGTGGTTGCTGCGTCTTGAGGACACCTGCACTTCCTTGACTACTTATCCTGCCTCAGTTCTACTTTTTCAGTTGAGTTTAATTTTTCAGCAGCTCCTGCTAAAAAATGTTTTACTGGCTCTCTTATTGGTATTAGAATAGTTAGGCAATAATGTGGATACAAAGTTAGATTATAGATGCTGTCTTTCAACGATACCACGGCAATGTCCACAAAGGACTATGT